CATCAAGATAGCTGAGGACCACGTGAGGACATCATTGCAAAGGGGGCCCACTTGCTAAAAAAGTGTTGGGTCCTGTCATACTGCATTAAATGCCGCCGCATCCCCCTCAAAAGACGAGCCCAGAGTTACTATAAATAGCAGTATTAAACACCATACGAGGATCTTTTTCCGACATATTTAATTCCGCATTTATCACCTCGGTATTGTAATATTCTCCAACACAAGTATACTATTGAAAACCGACCTCAAGTCCTGAAAACCGACTTGAGCCAATCCCGAATTATTCTATGCTTAACCAATAAACTCGTATTATTTCCACACAAGTCAAAGAAATTAACAATAAAAAAGGTTGATCAAATCCGTTTATCAACAGTATGTCCTAGGAGTGGAAATAATGCGAAATCGTCCTAAGAAACTTCTTGGTTTGTCTTAACAAACATATATTAAAAGAATCTTAGAACGTTTTCAAATGCATTATTCCAAACCCGTTGATACTCCAGTCAAAAAGGGTTTAACCTTAAGTCTTGATCAATGTCCGAAAACAGATGAAGAAAAACATAAAATGAGCAATGTTCCATATGCTAGTGCAGTAGGAAGCTTGATGTATGCCATGTTATGTACACGACCAGACATCTGCTTCTCGGTTGGCTTGGTAAGTCGTTACCAAAGCAACCCTGGGTCTGCACATTGGCAAGCTGTCAAGAGAATCTTGCGGTACCTGCGTGGTACAAGTGACTTGGTACTTTGCTATCAAGGTGGGTCCTTGAAATTAAAAGGATACTCGGATGCTGACTGGGGTGGCGATCTGGATGAGTCAAAGTCAACTTCAGGATATGCATTTATATTCGGTGGAGGTGCAATATCCTGGTGCAGTAAAAAAAAAGATTGCATAGCCCTTTCGACTATGGAAGTTGAGTATGTTTCCAGTAGCGTTGTCGTTCAAGAGGCAATATGGTTGAGGAATTTTCTACAGGATCTCAACCTCACCCCAAAGGCTGATGAACCTGTAGAAATGCATTGTGATAATACTGCTGCTATCCATTATGCCCAGGATCCGAAGTTTCACAGAAAAACCAAGCATATCAAAAGGCGTTATCATTTTGTACGAGGCGCAATAAAAAATAAAGAAGTTGTCATTAAGTATATACCCACAAATAAAATGATAGCTGATCCTTTAACTAAACCTATACGCAGAGATGCTTTCCAAACTCATGTGAAGAGTCTTGGTTTGCGTAGGTTTTAATTTTATTTTTGTGGGATAATGGATGTGTATAATGTTACACCGAACATATATGAAATTTGTTGTTCTTTGATATGTTCTTTAGCATATGTTCATAAGTAGGCATGAGTAAAGATGTCACCAGGCTTTTGATTACGCTTATCACACAGGTAATCGCCCTATCACATTAGTTGTGAGTAATAGGATGAGACTATGCCATATTCATATTACGTGTATGTTGTATGGATTGTATTTATACCTTTTGTTGTATAAATATATTTTTACAGTCGCCTTAGTAAGTCTAAGATGAGACTCTAACGAGTCGAATATGAAATAATCCTGATTTCATATCAAAGCCTTGAAGCCGAATCTCGAGTGGAAGATAAATTATTAAGTATATTTATCAAGTGGCTCGGGTTAGATACTTGAGTAGTATCTAGACTAAAGATTCGTATAACATAGTAGAGTGACATGCCCATCATAGTGGGAGCTATGTTATGACACGTATATCATACTGCGTGTGCTTTGAACGGCCGTTAAGGATTGACAAATGATTCCCTACTTTGTCAAGGTGTGAATCCTATAGATTATGTTGTCCAATTTTGTACGAAGCCTTTTGACTTAGAACTATGTTATGAAATTGAGACTTAGTGTTGCTACTTTAATATGTCATCCAAGAGCTATAATCGATACAGTTCGACGGAGCATGTTAGGAAAGCAACTAAGTTGAGATGAAGTTTCATTAGTGTCTAAGAAATAACTGATTCAACTTCACCACATTAGCCCGGGCGGTTGTATTTGAATATAACCATGTTGTGTATATAGCATATAGGGACTGTGTATGCTATCGGTGATTTTTGAACAGTTAGAGGTTGTCGTAAATATGAAAGTGTTATGTTAGTTGGATGGTAACTTAATATAACGCTGTTATCGTTGCATTTGGTCGCACGCTCTATTACCCGTATGAGGCAAGAGATTTGCTAATAAAGATTTATTGTTATAGTCTCAGCTTAAGTGGCTGAGTGGGAATATTGTATTTAATTGATGTTAAGTTGCATCAATTGGTAACATCCACTTAAATGTGGTGGTGTTACAACCTCATCTCCATTAAGTATGGAGTTATGAGAAGTGTGTTAAGTCTTTATTTAATTTGAGTTCCATGAAGACAAGTATAAATATGATGCTTTGTGCATCATGAAAAGACACACTACGAGACAAAGAAATAAACTAGGAAAATATACAAATATCTTTATATAGTGCTTATCTCTTGTTGAGCCGAAACCATCAAGGCGGCTCGGGTTTTAGAACGTGGAGGATATCGACGACTCTAGTAGTCGTCGGATAAAAGATACGGGCAAGTTTTTGCTTCCGCTACATAAAGGTTAGTCATATATATATATATTTATATATGTGTTATATAAAACCACTAACAACCTCAATGGCAGGTCGGTGAAGTTCACTTGGTGCACTTTATGGATTTTATTGTCAAACCTCGATGGCAGGTTGATGGTTTTTACTTGGTTTGATTTAGGGATTTTCTTTTCAGTGGCAGGTCGATGGAGTTCACTCGGCTGAAGGGGCTTGTTCACAGACCTCAGTGGTAGACCTCAGAGAAAGGTCGAGCATTTTTCAGTTGTCGAATGTAGGTCAAAATCGACGGTCAGGATTGATTGACAAATTGGAAACAACAAGCGCATTAAATGTGATACGACAGGTACACTGCACGAGGACGGTGTGGTAGACGAGGGGGTTGCGTAGAAAAGACGCATGATTTGAGAGGATAAACGACATGAAGAAAATAACGAGAATCAACAACAAGACAGATCCACCGAACTTAGATGTGGGAGACCCTTCCTCTAGCACTAATTTGTTGATGGTAGGTTTCACCAACAACACTACTATAAATAGTAAATGGAAACTTAAAAACACGATAAAGTTATAAAATTAAATGCTTCCTTTTGGTATGCTTGAACATTTTGCATTGCTTTTAGTAGCTTGAGGTATTTTTTTTTATTGTTTTCTAATGATTTTTTAGTGTACCGGCTATCACGATTTATACACGGTAAAAAAGTTAAAAAATCATCATGACTTTTTGATGAAGCATTGAACACGTGGCAGTAGACTAGGGGTTCTACTCAATGCAAGGTGATTAGTAGCAGTCCGCCTATTTTAGGATGAGACATGTAACTGGTTTTGTGGTTGGTGGTTCTGTTCATGCTGGGTTATGTGAACTAGTTTTGGGTGGCAACTCATTCCAAGCGATTTTTGGTTTGTAAATGAAATATTAAGGATTTTTTTGCATTTTTTTAGTTGAGGTGAATTCGAAGAAATTGGTCGAATTGTGTAATCGTCAACATTGTCTATACAGACATATCGAGTTTTGGTAGAGTTACCAACAACTTGGTCGGATAGTACGATGTTAGAACGTGCTATTGCCATAATTTTGCAAGGACAAAAGGCCAATATTTGGATATTAGCTTAGCCTTTCTGCAACGTGCAGAACCTCCCTAATACTCATCTACATGTTGCATGTGTTAGAAACCGCTGAAACCTTTCTCGACTAAAATAAGCCGAGAAGCATTTCAGTTGAAATATAAATTAACACACACATCATATCTCTAAATACGTATTGTTGCTGCACAATTTTGTTTCTCTTTTCCTCAAGACTGTTGTATAAAAAACTGATATAAAGGCTTAAAACTGAAAAGAACAAGTTGGAACAGACAAAGATAACTCAGAAAAAAATATATGGACTTGGAAGCATATTATACTTCTTAT